AAATGACCAATTTTATTATTGTTTTTGGTTTTTTTTGGAGGGATTATTATTAGGCGTGTGGAGTAAGGAAACTTGCCCAAGGTTTCGCCCTGCCTGGAATTGAACTCAGGTCTCTAGCTTGCAAAGCGAGTGCTCAACCACTGAGCTACAGGACTCCACATAATTTCAGTAGCGTCCCAAACAATTTTATTAAAAAATCACGTTTTGTTAAATTGAATTTAACATAATGTTTACGAGTGAAGAAAATACAACAGTGACTTCTATTTTGATGCTGCTCACACTTAAGAGTCTGACTGGAGTCTTGCTTTGACAGGGATTAAAATCAGTAGTAATTGTGATTTAAAAAATAGCATTTTTGTCTCTTCCCTTCACCCCCAATTTCCATTAATTTGCATTTACAATACAATATAAGTTCACATGCGTATGGCATCCTTCACGTCGGGAGAATGTCCCATGGTGCTTAATATTGCTGTGTGGGAGAGGGAGTCTAGGGAGGTGGGGAAGGGAAAGATGACTGAAAGTACGGTCAATGAGGTTAGCCTTGAGCCTGAATTTGGGAAGAAGTTAGTCCTTCCAAATATCGTGTGATTATCCTAGAGTGGGAGTGTAGATACCAGGCTGGCTCAGGTGCTGCAAGCTTTGTGATGGTTTATGAAAACCATTTCTCTCTCATGTTTGTCCTGGAGAAAACTTTTACATTTTTTAAAAGAGTTTTTAAGTATTTAAATGGATATATTTAATGAATATATTCATGACTGTTGACATTTACGCAAGAAAACAATGTTTAATATTTGCTGAACATTATGTAAAGCCAAAAATTTACAAGTTAAATGTCGAGCCCTTTCTTGTAAATATTTTTAATTTTTTCCCCCATTTTTCTCCCTCCTCTCACAATGGATTCTGACTCTGAGAGCTTGCAGGTGGTGATCACCATGCAGTAACTCACCCAAGAGATCGCGAAGAGATGATAAGGTTCTATATCAAATGCAAGGATTATTATTATTCATGTCTGCGCCTTCACAGTGAGAGTTGGCAGATTTTGGACCACAGGAAGCAGCACAGCCGAGCTCACACCCGTTCTCACGCGATGTCTCCCAAGTAAAATCCTTACATTTGATGTAGGATCTTTCAGGTCAGGAGTACGTCTGAAAGCACTTCACAGGACATACCGTGAAGTGCAGTGACTGTGTATTTTGTATATGAATGCAGCAGCCAATTTTTCTCAAAGCAATGTCCCCCAGATAGCCATAGGGTGAATAACCAATTTTATTTGGGGAATTGTTGGCCAGAACACCTGGAGAAACTTCTCTTTTTGAATAGTGCCGTGGGATCTTTAATATCCGCCTGTCCAACAGGCAGATGGGACGTCGATTTCATGTTGCATCTAAAGGACGACACCTCAAACAATACAGTGCTCTCCCAACACTGAATTGGAAAGTCAGCTTAGATGTGAGTGCAGACATTTGAACTCATAACTTTCTGACTCAGAGGTGAGAATACTACCGACTAAGCCAGGCTGATACCAAAACACAGCCCAGGAAGGGTCCCTGTACTGTGGTGAGCAGCAAGAAAACTAGATTATTTTCCTGCCTCTATTAAGAGGAGGGTGCTTTCCTATTGCTGCTCTGACTGATCAGCTAACTCAGCTTGTGATCTCCAGTGTGAATTGGCTGTTACCCACAAACTAAATCCTCTGAGCCATTGCAGGAGCCCTGTGAAAAAACTTTCACGCCCTCCACGTCCATGCTCTCAGCCCTGTGGTGAGTTTACAATACTGTTGCATGTATTTTTGCTGAAACCAAAGCTCTTGCAAAATTAAATGTAGCATGAAGCGAAGTATTTTAACTGTAACTGAAATGCATTTTTATGTGCACTTCCTTTTATAGTCACCAATGTGTAAAATTACATTGCTATTTCTTCATTCAAAAATATCAATGTAGAGTCCATTGTCCTCTTGTGCGTTAGAATTCTGCCTTCAAATATGAAATGGGTGTGTAACACACATTGCAGGTACATAATGGCTTTACACGTTAGATGGTGTAGAATTTGCCTCGTCTATAAAGAGAGAGAATCCACAGAACGCACACACTCTCACTCTCTCTACATGGACAGCTAATGGACTGGGTCATACCGACATTGCCAAGTTCTGGGTGGTGACATTTGCCTAGTTCACTGCTTTGGGCACATTCGTGTTCTTTCCCCATGGGCTTTTATGATTTTATTTTTTGCAATTTATAATCAGGTGTTTCATCCTGTTGTATAGTTCTGAAATACTGGTATAAACAGACTGAAGAATAAGACCTTTTTTTCTGTTCTTGCTGCTGTCTCATTCTTATTCCAAATCTTGATTCAATCATGAATTATCTGTATGAATCTCCAATACATTTGCTAGTCTGCTTTCCTTGTTTTTTTATCAATTCTGAATCCCAAAATTATCTGGAGAAATCTCTACAAAGCTTAAGAAAATTCTTAAATTCAGAACATTGCAGACCCCAGATTCCTGAAAGTAGACACTGGTGGCAATAATAAACTGGTGTTGAGGATTAAGGAAGCTGGCAATACGTTGGGGTAAGCATCCTGAGAAACTGGAAACCAGCGCTTTCTATTCTGTTCAGCGTACAGTTGTATAACCATTTAAGAATTATTACTTTAAAAGTGTTCTAGCACAACAGCACTCTTTTGAGAGTGATGTAACATGGAATTAGGTGCATCTCTAAGCATGCTGTACCTGAACCTGCCAGTGCAGAGCTTAATGTTGACATCCAAACTCTACACCCACTGCAGACCTTCACAATCTCCACTTGATTCAAATGTTGAAGGAGTTGACGTGTTGTTCAGTTGTTACCTGCTGCCCTTCTGCGTGTCCTGCTCCTTGCTCATCATACCAGTGATTTTTGTGGGATTGTGGTATCCTCTACTCTGCCATTCAGAACTCTGCCGCCTGCAAACTGACCTGGACCATACTCCGTACTCAAATCTCCATTGGCTCCCCATCACCGAACAGATCGACTGCAAGATTCTCACTCTCGTGTTCAAATTCCTTCACTCCCTGGCACCTCCCTCCTCACTCCCCATCCACCACCCAGCGCCTCCGCTCGACTGGCACCGGCCTCCTGCTCGTCCCTCGCACCCTCTGCCCCACCATCGGAGGTCGCACTTTCCCGAGCCACTACGCCTGAAACTCTGGAACACTCTCCCTCAATCCCTCCGCCTTCCCTTTTTCCAAGTCCTGCCTGGAAACCTTCCTCTTCAACCGTGCTCACAGCCACCTCCCCCATCCTGGCTTGGAGTCAGGCTCCGCCTCTGAGACGCTACCCAGTGTGGAGAGCGCTATATAAGTGCAAGGTGGTGGTGTTGTTACCATGGGTTTTTAGCCAAAGTGGCTGTTTTTCAAGTGGCACTTCTACACCACTACTAATATAGTACTACTAACACCTTTATATTTATAACAACCTGCTTCTGCCCTCTGGAGGCAGGAACTCAAATTGTAATTACCGTTACATCATGCACCCTTTCTCCATTGGGTTCGTATTGCAGGGGAGAGCTGTATTTACATCCAGATTGGTAGTAGTTAGTAGCGATATTCACTTGTGAGGGAATTTTTCCCGGGCATCGAGATTGATTTCAAAAGAGTTGAAGCGAATGCTGATGGGCTTTAATTGACGGAAATGATCTGATGAGTTCCATCCCTATCCAGACATCCCAGTTTGCAGGCCTGAGCTGTTTGAGAGTTTCATTAAATTGCAAATTTGGTATTATTTTGACCAAAATAATATGATTGATCTATCTTGAGCAGGATTTTTGAAATCTCTTTTATTGTATAAACATTGTATTTAGTTGGCTCTAGCGTTCCCTGTTCTGAAAGCCATTTCACTGAATATTATAATGGCAGAGTTGGCATGATAGGATCTTATGTTTGCAATTCCTAATGGGATTTCTTCATGAGAAAACTGCTGTAGACCATTCCGACTCGAGGAAATCCACTCCAATGAGAGCTGCTTCTGGAGGGGACTGCCAGGAAGTTGGCACATTGTTCTTCTGGTTACTGGAAGGAGCCTTTATTTGGGTTCTTTGTTAAGGAATCCCAATGAAATTGCCTCATATTTGGCCTAACGGATGAAATGTTAGCCCTTCTAATTTCCAGTGCAACTCTTAACCTCCTGGATGTTTGGTTTCACTGCATCATTCCTCAGTGTTAAGGCATTTGATCAGACTCTTCTGTTTCACTAGATCACCTTTTGGAACCACTTGAGCTAAATCCCACTTACGGCCACAAAATATTAAAGTATAAATTGTATTGCACAAGCTTGTACAATAATACAATGATATGAAAGGGTGATACAAACCTACAGAGCAGTTTGGTTGTATAACACACAATGGTATAATGGATCATGTGCAGCCACATGTATAGTTATAATACAACAACAAGATTACATTTGTATAGCGTCTTTCACGTCGGGAGGACGTCCCAAGGCGCTGGATACATTCTGAAACACATAATTCCCAACTTCATTACAGATTTCAGTGTTGTTATTCTCATTAAACTCCATACTATAATGAGTGTGCGCCACACTGGTGCTTGTGTTTGGGCCTTATTCTGGTATAAGTTCTAAGATGCAAATCAGGTTGATACCTGTGAATTTTGTTTATCGTAAAGATATGAAATCTTTAATGAAGGAGCAGGCTAACCCTGTAAGAATATTTGAGGGTGTTTAACATTGGAGTGCAGCTGGAGCTTTACAAGAAGGGTCTGTGACATTGATTTTGGGGGTGAGGGTTTGGGATTATTGAAGAGCTTTTCTGTTTAGTCCATAATGCAACTGCTCAGTTACGTTCAAGGACTGTTCTTTTATGTTCTAGCGCTGTCTGTGCATGTCTTAGCACTATTAATTTATTTCTACGACTGCGTTTAAGCTGTAGTAGTGTTTATTTATGTTGTAGCACTGTTTGTGTTGTAGCATTGCCTGTTTATGTTTTAGCACTGTTCATTTATGTTCTAGCCCCTGGAGATTCCTGATGGCCACCGAGCACCTTTCCCTTCCCACTACCGCAGCAGCAGCACCCGCAATGTTGACACCCAGACGCCCTCTGTTCAAGAACGCAGCAGTAGTTGCAGCAGCCACTCGCCGTGCGTTTCCCCTTTCTACCCTACTGGATCTCAAGAGGGAAGCCCCTGCTCAGCAGAAGACCTACAGTATGACAGGGACAAAGGTGAGAGAACAGGCCTCAGAGTGAATCTCCGAATTACAATGATAAATGGGAAATGCTGTTAAGGGCTTTGCATCCCCAGGGTCAGTCAGGACTGTCGTATGGCCTTTTTTTTAAGAAAATGTTCTGTGGGTTAATCCAACCTTTACTTAAGCAGGTGGAGGTAATGATCTGTGGAACACAGAATACAAATACATAAATTATAGCAACGCTATTCTGATGCTGCCCGTGATCACTTAACTGATTGCACCTGTCAAAATACCGGTTGGCATTTCTAATAAAATCAGTCAGCAAGGATCATCTTATCAGAGAAATAATAAATCTGTTTTCTATCTATTCAAAAACCTGTTTCTTGAACAAAAGCGTTTTGAATATTCAGCAGCATTGCAGAGATGTATATCCTGTATATACTCCCAACAAGATTTTGTAAAGTTGTCAGCATTCAGATGCTGGTTCATGAAACCACCTTTTCGCCCAACTCTCGTCAGCTCCCCTAAGCCTAGCTCGGGGTCTGAGTCAGCTGTGTAAAGTGCTTCAATATGTCCTGCTGGTGCTATAAAAATGTAAATTGTTGTTTTATATTGGACTGATATAATGACTGGGGGAGAAACACGAAAAGAACATGGCCCCTGCACCCTGACAGTCTTGTCTTTTTTTCATGGCAATTGTGGTAAGGTTTGGAAAGAGCTGGAAATTGGATAGGTAACTTCAAAGGAAGCACTAGCTTAGGCTCGATGGCCCAAAAGGTCTTTCTCTAGTGATGACGTTTCTATGTTTCACAGCATTTTCCCATCAACTTCTGCACCCTTTTTATCTAGCACCACTGTAACTTCAATTTTTTTTAGGAATTGGAAACACTCGCAAGCGGGAAGGAAAGTTAATTTAAAAAAAATCTCCAGTGTGTTTGCAGAATACGTCCATGTAACTCAGATGGAACCTGTTGATTTTTGAATTGATATCGCTGTGATTTAACTGTGAAAGCTTGTTCAAAGGATTAAACTTCCGAAGCCGTAGTTAAAACAAAGTATGGAGTGAGCAGCAGCCACTTGACCTGCCAGCTCCCCTGCTAACATTCTGTGCACACTTCTCAATGTCATGGATTCTACCAAATGTAATCACCGCAGGTAAAACTTCTAGAAACAATAAACCTGCTATGGAAATAACCATGTTTAAAACTCCAGGCCATCAATCCAGCACTACAGTCTGCATGTCTGGCTGGTTGGACTCCGTAGATTACATTTACATCTATGCTCTGGCTATGTATCCGGGCCTTTTTTTAAAAAGTAAATTGCCAAACAACATAGGGTTTATATAATAAAAAAAACTTGACCACTTTTTCCCCTCCTTTTCTAAAAGCATTTGGTTTCTTTTCCCTTCCATTGGGATACTTCACCTACAGAATACACAGTGATTACAACAGCAATGACAACAAAACAACTTGCCTTTATATAGTGCCCTTCATGCAGGGTAAAAGTGATGGAGCTTGTCCTCTCCTTCACCTTCACGCCCAAAGATCTTTTTCTTCAACCATGTGTATGGTGCCATCCCTCCCTCTCTGGCTTAATTCGAGGTATGAGGTAGAGTTCTGTAGTTTAGTGGCTGAAAGCATAGCTGTCAATGGTGGAGGGGATGAGGGATATTTATTACACAGTCACAACTTACAGTAGGGCTTTCTGGAAAGTAATCGGGGATGTATCCTTGGCTGAATTTTTTTTTGGCAACTGTCCCATAGCTCAGGGATGCTGAAGTTAACGATAGCATCTTGCTGCCATCTTTCTGAAATCAGCACAGAACTGAAGGTGTAACTTGGTCTGTAAAGCTAAACCACTCACTGAATAACCTCACAGAATCATGGGTAGAACACATTCTTTTGTCATTCATCAGAGGTTATTTGACATATCTACTATTCTGTAGGTGAGAGCTAAGATAAATTGTTCTCATTTCCAGCTTTGCTGTTTTGCATTTGTATCCTGTGGCACTGAAATCACAGACAAGTGACCCAGTCCTGTCTCAACATTCATTTTATATCAACCTGGATCATGTTTCCTCTCAACATCTGCAGTGAAACAGTTTAGTCCTGTGAGGCTCCCTTTAGAGCTTCAAATGCTGGTGTAATATCTGTTCCCCTCTCGCATCACAACAAGGCAATTACAGTCTCCTCACTGCGCTGTACAAGCGATACTTCAGCAGAGAATCACTTTGGAATAAATTTCCATCGGGGTCATTTGATACATAATTTTTGGTACATAATGTTTGCATCAAATTGCACACTACAAGTTTTTAATTACATAATGACACACTCTTTCTCGAAGCTAGTCATGCCTGTAGCAGATTGATGGAACAGGGGAATTGTGTTATAGATAGTAATGAGTCCCTCAGTGATCTGTTACGGATCAGCGAGAGCTACCCAGCCCTTTGACAGGTGTGATCAATCAAATGTTCATGACTATGATCAGAAAGTGTATTACAGGCCGTGTGCATGTGGGTGACATAATGGGTGATTGTGAAGGCAGGTCTATGTATTTATCAGTCTGGACTGACTCCATTTACGAACAACATTAAAGAGCACAAGGTTGTTTAACCTTTTGTTATTTTTTTACATTGTTTTTATATTATAAAAGTAACTTTAACCAGGCTGCTGTTTAGTAATGACAGTTTCCCCTTATCAGACAATTATTTTACTACCCGCTACCCTGTCGCTTCTCATAATGTTCTCATGATGTAGGTAAGGTATTGTCCTAACATGATCCAGATGTGTTCAGCCTAGTTTTCGTTGCTTGTAAAGTAAATTCTGAAATGGATGAAGTGAAGACATCTAGGACTGATGCAGATTGTGAACAAGGGAGAACAGGATTGTAATACTGTGACCTGTGTTCTAAAAGTGGTTTTGAGTACTTGGGAGGGAGGGAAATGTGCATTTTGGAAATTACCTTTAAGTATCAATTATTGAGTATCCAGTTCTAGCCATTGAGTTTAAATAAAATTGTCATTTCTCATCTGTCGGAGTATTAAAGTCTATGAAATTTTTGCTCTTTTTTTCTCTCCCAGGCCTCTGCCAAAGCTGCTCTTGAGCTCACTGCATGAGGGCAGCCCAGGGTATCTCACTCACATTTTCTTATTATTTGCTCCAATATCACTTTGTAGTTAACTGCAGAGAACGCCATGAAAGGATTTGATAATGACCTTGATTGCAATTGTTTAACCCCCTGTGACAAATTCCGAGTTTGTATCTTACCACTTTATGGCTTACCATTGGGATTGTCAGTGTGAATCTCTGTTCTATATGAAGGGAAACTATTTGTGAGTGTGAGACAGTATGTAAGGAAGTGTTTTATTTGGGATATTTATAGTCTAGTCTCGTTCAGGACTATCAGTAATTCCAACTAACTTCCTGACCGCAGAAGTGCTTTTCTTTTACATAAAAAAGAAAGAAATCAGAGTGTAATTATTGACATAACTGACCTGTGAAAGTTTCAGACTGTGTGTGTTTGAGCTGTGGTAAAGAAACATCAGTTTAGTTTGAAATGTCCTTTCACACTTGGGTAATGTTCAGTGTGAGCACTTTGAGCTGTATGACATTGTTGGTTACTGATTATTGGTAATGATTGGTGTAGGAACAATTTAAGGTGATGAATAGAATATGGCTGAAGCACAGCATTGGTGCAGTATTAAGGTGTATTGGTTTAAGTGTGATTTTTTTTTAATCCCTGTAACTCAAGCACCACCAAATATGCTAAATAAACTTAGTGACAAAACTTAGTTACTTTCTCAGTGTGAAATGTTAATTAGTTCAATCAGGTAGCTTCCACCTTAAAGTAAACACAAATTTTGCTTATGATTGTGATGCAACATTTCATTTAGTAGAGCTGCTGTCCAGATATATTTGTTGTAATTGGGCCTGGAGCAGGTAGGGTTTAGTTGGGGTGAGTGATTTGTTCGCAAGGTCCAGTTTCATGAATAGCTGAGTTGCAAAAAGAATCAGAAATTTTAAATATGATTTGGAAGAACAAGTGTATCTCATGGAAAGATTTGTTCCATGCCAATGCCATTCTGCCTGCACCCTCTGGAACTCCCTCCTTCCCTACACTCATTTAAGGTCTGTTTCAAGATGTTCCTTGCTGACCCCTTTTTTGGTCATGTTTTTCCCCTCTACTCCTGTGCCCAGCTAGCAGTGTTGAGCGCTTTGGAACATCCTTCCGACGTGAAAGGCGCTATATAACTGAACGTTATTTATATTGTGTTGTAATGTCAGATTTAGAAACTGAAGGAGATAGTAAGTGATAATGGCCAACATTTTGAGTTTTGTTTAGATGGCAGATCCTCTCTATTCCTGAAACCTGGCAAAGCTTCTCACGTGTAATGAACCCATATGGATGTTTGGGAGCAACTGTGAAGCATTAATGGATCTTGTCACAATCCATAAGGCTGGACTGGGCTAAAATTGATGCTTGAAATGACTCCTGGGTGACTGATCTTTCTGGGGTATACTGTGAACTTCCTGGGTGAAGTTGATATAATTTTGAGCTCTCTATTTTCCTGGACAGCTGACATTGCAGATATTGCCTGCTCAGGCACTTCCTATTGATGTGTGGATGATCTCACTGACATCATCACTGCAAGTTTATTGAAATAATATACAAGTGATACTGTGTAGTTATATAAACGTGTCAAATTGTGCTTCACCCACAGAAGTGTAATGAGATCATTCAGCTTCTTCACCACTAAACCCTCACTGTATTTATACTACACCAAACCCTTAATTAAGGGCAGTCCTTGTGAAATTGCATTTGTCTTGTGATGAGCTAGTTGTAAAGAAGGGGTAGAGATTTTAGACATTACTGTATGTGTTGTGTTAGATGTTCTTATGTGTATTTGTTTGAGGAGATCATCAATATGGATGTTGGTATTCAGAATAGGCAAAACTTTTGCCTTAAAATGAGAAACTAGCTGATCTCCACTGCAATTACACTGGATGCTTTTCTGCAATACAAAATTGGTCAAAC